AAAAGAAAAAAAACGGCGTAAATTTTCGCCGTGCCCGAGAGCCAGCCCTGGTAGCCGTGGGCCCAACGGGAGCTTTTCCTCGGAAAAAACTCCCCGCGGGCGCTGCCCGGCTCCCGGCGGCCCGAGGGCGCGGCGCGGGCGCTGCCCTCCCGATCCCCGCGGGATGCGGGGCCGCGGCCCGGGATGCGGCGGGGCCGCCGTGTCTCTGTCCCCCGGGGCCCCGGGAAGRGGCTTGGGGGGTCCCGGAGCCGCGCAGGCGGAGGGGCAGCCGTCCCCGCGGAGGAGCGCGGGCGCGCAGCCGGGGCCGCGGGGAGCTGGCGGCCGGACAGGTCCCATCGTGCGGCGAGAACAATATAAACTGACTCCAACTGAACAAACAAGGATCGATCAGATAATTTCAGATATTATAATTGGCTTTAATTAAACACACTTCGTTCTAATTAACTCTGAAATTTTAGCATGCTTTGGGACGTTGGTGTCTGATTTGATATTGTCAGTCCAGATGTCCTAATAAAATTCAATCCTCCACTCAAGACTTCAATATTCACTAAGAACAAAATGCAAATTAAATGTAAAACCTAAAGTATCGCCAAAGGTATAATCAAGAAAGGTGTCTCAAAACTTCTCACTTTTTATTACGCAGTAGTTAGAAAATGCAGATTACATCCTAACAAGACCTCGACTGAATAATAGAAACCTTAACTCTTTCGTGGTCAGGGCTCGCTCTGCCCTGCAGGGATCCGGGAACATCCTCCGCCAGCGCACGGGAAACACCCGCGGCGCGGGGCTCCCGCACGGACCGGGCGCGGACAACCGGCGGAGCCCCGCGGAACGGGCCGCTCGCCCCGCCGCACTCGCGGAGCAAAACTTCCCTCTGTCGCAATCACTTTTGTCCCCGAGGCGAGCGGCGGTGCAGCCCCGGGCCGGCCGGGTGACCACAGCCCGGCGGAGCTGCGGGAGAGCCCCGGGTAGCGGCTCCGGTAGCGGCTCCGGGCATCGCGGCGCTCGGCCAGAGCGGGACAGCGCAACCCGAGGGGGACACGCACCGAGGGAAGGTCCCCGTCCCCTCGGCCCCGAGCTGCCTCGCGATTTCCCCGCAAGGCACGGCGCTCCTGTAAATAATTAAAGCCTTGGGAGCGGGGCGGCGGCGCGGGGAGCTGCGGGGAGCCCGCCCGGTGCCTCCCCCGGCCCGCGGCCCCGGCGGGGCTCCCGGGGTGCTGCAGCGGGGGACCCCCGAGCTGGGCTCGGCGCCAGCCCACCGCCTCGCCGCGCTCGCAGAGCTCCAAAAGCCAGGCTATTCCCACATTAAACATTTGTATGTTTTCCATGCTAATGGAGTCACTTAAAGCTGTTGCTAATTTAACTTTTTAAAAAGGCCACAGCGTGGTGATTTGCATTTTCTTTAGGATATTGAAATGAAGGGAAAACTGCTGGGCGGTGAGGCTGCCCCGAGCGTAGCTGGGGGCCATGCCGGAATGAAAACAGGGAAAGAAAAGAAGAAAGAAGGAAACCGCCGCCTCTTCCCGACTGTTAATAAGCAATTTGTCCCGCCGCGATTTACATTGCAAAGACAAACGTGTCGGGGCGCCCGGCCCGGCCGGGGCCCCCCGGGCCGCTCCCCCCGCTCCGCGCTCCCCCGACATCACCCCCGCAAGCCGCGCTCCCGCACCCGCCGGGCGCGCAAATCCCGCGGCCGCGGGCGACCGGCGGGCGGCTCGGGCTCTCCCCGCGCCCCTCGGGCTTGAATTTCCAATGAATTTCCGAACGCCCCGGTCTGGGTAAACAACAAGTGCTGGGATGGCCGCTTCCCTCGGCAGCTCCCCTCTCACAGCGCCGAGGCTCTGTAGCGTGGGGACCGTGTGCCATCTACAGGACATTGCGCGGGCGGCCGCGCTCCGCGCCCCCGGCCCCGCCGCCTCCCGCTCCCCCCGCCACCTCCGCGAGCAATCATTGATTATTTGTTATTTCAACTTTTTCTTTTCCTATTTTTTTAAACAACATATTAAAACTTTGCGGTGATAAAGATTGCGGCGCTGCCTGCAATTTTTAAATTTAATAATTTTTTTTTTTTAGATTAAAAGATCTGAAATGTAAAGATAATGCGATTTGATTTGTTAGTCTAACTCCGCGATTTCAGAGTTGATGTCCCCAAAGACCGGGCGAGCTTTTTCCCTTTATTTATTTTTATTAAAACATCAATCTACTCTGGAGCTGGGTGAACTCAGTTTCACCTAGAGAACATAAAATTCTCCATACCAAGGAAATAAGCACCTTTCATAAATCAACAGTATTCCTGACAAATCGATCAATTTTTGGTTGTTAATCCGAAAGGAGGAGTTTTAATTGCTTTCTGCCTTTTAGCCCGGCCACCTCGGCGCGGCGGCTCCGGCAGCGCTCGGCTCGCCCCTTCTGCGCTCGGGAGGGGGAAAAAAAGCCCCGGAGACCCTTCCGCGCCTCCGGGACCCCGCGCAGGGCCGCGCAGGGCCGGCCGCGCTCCTCCCGGCCGCGCAGCATCCCCGCCGCGCTACCTGCGCGCAAGCGGCCGGGACGCGCAAAGCCGCGGGCGCAGCCGAGCCCCCGCGCGGCGGGACAGACGCGGCTGTGCAGGGGCGCGCAGGCTGCGCGCAGAACCGCGCACGGCCCGGCCCGGCCCGGCCCAGGTAAGCGGGCTCTCCGCCACCCGGGCCCCCCGCCCGCGCCCCTTCCCGCAGCCCCGCGCGCGGGCGGCCGCTTACCTTGCGCGGGTGTTCCCGGGGCGTGCGGAGGGCAGCGCGGATGGCGGAGGGGGACGCGGCGGAGTGTGCGGAGCTCCCCGCGCTTTAATACACTTCTCAGCAGCGCAGCCCGGCCGCGGCGCGGGGGGGGACCGGCGGTGCGCGGGGCGCAGCAGTGCGCAAGCGCCC